GAGTGGAATCGTGCACTTAAGGGGCTCCGTATTAACTTTCTATGTTGCGGTATCGAGTTATACCACCGCAAAGTTCCTCGCACCCGGATTCGTGGTGGAGTTTGTGGGTTCAATAAACAATGGGCACGCCCACGCTGCGTCAAAAAACGACCCAAATCAGCTTTGGTGGGAAAATGTTTTCTATTTCACGGAATCAAGGGATGAAAAAACTATTAGAATACAAAATTTCAGAAGGCTCCTATGTTGGCGTTTCGAGATAAATTACCGTAAACATACTAAACATATTGGAGAATCGGGTTAGGGTAGGCTTACTGCGCACGTAATAACTTCTAAACTAGCTTTGGTGGCTTCAATATCTTTATTTTACCAACTGGACAGGTGCATAAGGCATGAACATGCCAAATTTCATTAACTTTCTATGTTGGCGTATACCACCGCAAAGTTCCTAGCACCCGGATTCGAGGTGGAGTTTGTGGGTTCAATAAACAACGGATACGCCTAGGCTGCATCAAAAAATGACCCAAACCAGCTTTGGTTGGAAAATGTTTTTTATTCCACGGAATCAAGGGATGAATAAACTACTAGAATACAAAATTTCAGAAGGTTCCTATGCTGGCGTTTCGAGATATATTACCGTAAACATACTAAACATATTGGAGAATTGGGTTGGGGTAGGAAGACTGCGCACGCCATAACTTCTAAACTAGCTTTGGTGGCTTCAATATCTTTATTTCACCAACTGGACAGGTGCATAAGGCATGCACATGCCAAATTTCATTAACTTTCTATGTTGGCCTATCGAGTTATACCACCGCAAAATTCCTAGCACCAGGATTCGAGGCGGAGTTTGTGGGTTCAATAAACAACGGGTACGCCCAGGCTGCACCAAAAAACGACCCAAACCAGCTTTGATGGGAAAATGTTTTTTGTTTCTCGGAATCAAGAGATGAATAAACTACTAGAATACAAAATTTCAGAAGGCTCCTATGTTGGCGTTTCGAGATATATTACCGTAAACATACTAAACATATTGGAGAATCGGGTTAGGGTAGGCTCACTGCGCACGTAATAACTTCTAAACTACCTTTGGTGGCTTCAATATCTTTATTTCACCAACTGGACAGGTGCATAAGGCATGAACATGCCAAATTTCATTAACTTTCTATGTTGGCGTATACCACCGCAAAGTTCCTAGCACCCGGATTCGAGGTGGAGTTTGTGGGTTCAATAAACAACGGGTACGCCCACGCTGCATCCAAAAACGACCCAAACCAGCTTTGGTGGGAAAATGTTTTTTTGTTTCACGGAATCAAGAGATGAATAAACTATTAGAATACAAAATTTCAGAAGCTTCCTATGTTGGCTTTTCGATATATATTACCGTAAACATACTAAAACTATAGTGGAATCACTTGTCTTTACTACACTGTTCTGCTCCTAAACTGGGCTAATGAAGACGGGTATACGCCATACAGTGTGCTATGGCGGAAATTTTGCTTGGGCAGCGGCGCTATGTCCTACACTTATATTGAATTCCAACTGCCAAAGGATATTTTACGTGCACGCCAATATGTATACGGGACCTCGGTTTTTCGTCCCATCCGAACGACCAGAAAGCTGTCCTTGTCAGGCCCTCCGTCTTGCATCCCTGACATGGGGAAACCACGCCGGAAAATCTGGATGAACTTTCTCGGCCAATACAGGGATCGAAAACCCGACCTTCACTTCCTGACCAGTACGTATATTCTTTGAAGTAAAGCGGAACGTGTGCAAAGATCATATGTAGTTTGTAAATTAATGAATGAACGAATGAATGAAATGTTGTTTAATGGCACGTCAGCTCCAACCGGGCTATATTGCTCCAAACATATGATGAGGTTTCTCTAGACAAACTAGAAACATATAATCATAATGTTAGGCCTATCTATATATACATAAATAAAAATAATTATCACAGAAAATATCTAATAAAAATACATATAACTTTACGTATATATATTTAAAATATGAAAGAGAAAATCAGATATATACAATTAAAAGTTTCGATAAAAATTTGTCTCTTTTAAAAAGTCTACCGGGTTACAATATTGATCCCACCCGGTTGGGCAAACAACTGATGTAATGATTGGCAACGGTAATACCGTAATCTTGTATCTTTGAAATGCTTGCACTCAATCAAAATGTGCTTAACTGTCAAAGGAACATGGCAGTGTTCATATTCCGGTTAAAACTCTCGCTTTAAGATGAAAATGTGTGTTAAAAAGGTATGACCTGTACGAGAGAGACACAAAACAACTTCATCTCTCCTGTTCGTTCTATAGGAGTTTGGACAATCCCCTAACAGAGGCCAAATGTGATGAAGTTTGTTGGCGCCTGCAAGATCCCACGAACGTTGCTAACGGCCATAAATGAAAGTTAATGAAATTTGGCATGTTCATACCGTATCCATCTGTCGATTTGGTGCAATAAAGATCTTGGAGACATCAAAGCTAGTTTAGAAGTTATTGCGTGCGTAGTCAGCCTACCCCAACCCGACTCCCCCATATGTTTAGTATGTTTACGGTAATATATCTCGAAACGCCAAAATAGGAAGTTTCTGAAATTTTGTATTCTAGTAGTTTATTCATCCCTTGATTTCGTGAAATAAAAAACATTTTCCCACCAAAGCTGGTTTGGGTCGTTTATTGATGCAGCGTGTGCGTACCCCTTGTTTAATGAACCCACAAACTCCACCTCGAATTCGGGTGCTAGGAACTTTGCGGTGGTATAACTCGATACGCCAAAATAGAAAGTTAATGAAATTTGGCATGTTCATGGCCTGTGCAACTGTCCAGTTGGTGAAATAAAAATATTGAAGCCACCAAAGCTAGTTTAGAAGTTATTGCGTGCGCAGTCAGCCTACCCCAACCCGATTCCCCTATAGTTTTAGTATGTTTACGGTAATATATCTCGAAACGCCAACATAAGAGCTTTCTGAAATTTTGTATTCTAGTAGTTTATTCATCCCTTGATTCGTTGAAATAAAAAACATTTTCCCACCAAACCTGGTTGGGGTACTTTTTGATGCAAAATGGACGTACCCCTTTTTTGCATCCTCAGCCTAGTGTGTGATATTTTAGTATGTTTACGGTAATAGTACATTTTGGGGTGTGGGGTGGGATCGGGGGATCTATTACATAATACTTTGCATTAATACGTTTTAAAATTTTATTTTCTAATATAAAGGTAACAATTATTTTCGTGATAATTATATCTAGGTTTTTCTTGGCGCTAGGAATGCGTGGGCTTACTTTATCTCGAATCCGAGTGCTGGAAATGGAATACGGTGGCAGAATATGTCTGCTAACTTGATCTCAAATGCGGGTGCTGGAATACGGTGAAAGAATATGTCTGCTAATTTGATCTCGAATGCGGGTGCTGGAATACGGTGAAAGAATATGTCTGCTAATTTGATCTCGAATCCGCGTGCTGGAATACGGTGAGAGAATATGTCTGCTAAATTGATCTCGAATCCGGGTTCTGGAAAACGGTTAGAGAATATGTCTGCCAACTTGATCCCGAATCGGCGTGCTGGAGTACGCTGAGAATTATGTCTGCTAACTAGATCTCGAATCCGGGTGCTGGAATACGGGTGAGAGATTCCGCTCGGTCAGTGTAGTGTAGTGTAGACTAAAACCTATTATAGGCCTATATAATTAAAACACCAAAATTCCACACTATCACATTCTCCCCTCCTAAAAGTAATGTCGTCCCGACAATTAAAACAACTAAAACTAAAACCAAAATTCCACATAATATCATGGACCTTAAAGATGGGTTCCCGCGTACAAACTGGGTGATTTAATGGTATATATGGACCAAAAACATATTCAAACTAATTAATTTGTCATAATTATGCTTCAAATCCTTCTCAAACATTGTAATTGCGAAGGAATGCCCTGCTATTAAAATTCGATCAAACCAGGTCATGTTTACGTCACGTCTTGGGAGTCAGAGGAGAAATCATTGCATACATAAGACGATGTTGTCTTTAATCGCTTACTATTTATTACAAATATCGAATCCTAATTAAATTCCCGGATTATCCACTACCCGCGTCTTTTCCCGTCATTTTTATCTCAGAAAGTATTGTACGTATAACTCTTCATAAAGTTTATCAACTTGTACATCAAGCACTCAATGTTCGCTTGTGACCTTTGACATCGTGCGTGCAGAAGGTCATAATCATCGGGCTGTTGATTAGGGGAACCCTTACATTTTTGTCCTGTATACGCCCCATGAGTGTTTTTTGGGGAATCCAGTATTTTTCTAGTAAGATTGGATATCTCTACTTTCCATATATACCAAAATTGCCATACTTTTATTGGAAAGAACCACCCGATAAATACTTTTCTGGGAACCCATCTTTAATACATTTTATAAGGTCCATGAATCATGATAATATCAAAGGCGTACTGTCAATCAAATTGACTGACATCCGGCCTCGCTCAACAACGGTCTCGCTTAGTACGATCTATCATTTACCGTGAAGGTATCGTATTCGTATCCAAACAAAATGGGGGATGGAAGAAGCATGGAAAAGGTCGATATGGCCAAAGAAATTCCCAAATTAACCGAATCAGACAAGTATTACTTGAAAAAATTGGAACAGCTAAACATGAAAAGAGTTCAAGATATAAAGATTGTGAGAAAGAAGAGTCGCCGAACAGGGATTTTTATAGGAATTGGTGTGTTATCTATTTGTATCCTTCCATATTATTATTATTAGGCTACAATACTAATCTAATACTTTCGAGCCCCTTTCGGAAACCTTGGCTTTCAAACCAGTCACCACTCTCCATTGCCATGGGGCGTTTTTGCACTTTCGCACCTCTAGCAGCTCCCGTGGTCGTGGAGATGTTAAAGGACCTAAGTCCGTAACTCAAAATCCTCCAAAATCTTCGACATCGAAAACACGAATTATTGGTCAATTTAAATCAACATTGATGATGTAAACTTACCGGGAAAAGATGAGCTTCTGATATCCGATATTTAAGATAAAATAATTTTTTTAAGATTGGTACACGAATCGTGTACCATAATGCGCTTCAGCCCCAGTTGTATTGAGAGACTCGAGGGATGAGGCTAGACACATTGCACCAAATCAAATGGAGTTATGTAGACTAGAATAACTAGACGCTAGAAATTTGCACTCGATTGAGATTGCTGACTTATTTCGCCGAACATAACTGATTTGAAATTGGAGTAAAAACGGAAACCATTAAATGTAAATCAGTTTATATACATTCATATTACAGTATTATATGCGTTGCGACCCACTTTTGTGAATTTCTAGGTCCCAAATGTTAGCGATTTAGCTCCTTTAAGGGGGACTAATCATGACCTCACATCAAATTACAGCCGAATCGATCAATAACTTTTCATTTTTTACCGACCTTTTTCACAGGTTCTATTTCAGTAACTTACCTCTACCAGTTTCGCAGGGACGTGAAATTTTCAGGGGATGTTTAGGGGGACTAGCCATGACCTCACACCAAATTTCAGCCGAATCGGTCAATAACTTTTTATTTTAACGTAGTTTAGCTTCTGCAGAGAGGAAAAGTGGTACTATTTCAGTAACGTACCTCTACCAGTTCCCATGATCATAAAGACTTGAAATTTTCAGGGGGTATTCATGGGGCCTAGCCATGACCTCACACCAAATTTCAGCCGAATCTGTCAATAACTTTTTATTTTACTGTAGTTTAGCTTATACGAGAGAAAGTTTATCCGATTTTGACGCCATTTTGTTTGTTGGCTATTTAGACTCGAATAACAAGACAGGGTTAGGGTTAGGGCTAGCCCTGTCTACATCTTGAGACTATGACGAAATCTACAGGTCCTAGCCCTTACCCTAACCCTTATCCTAACCCACAATCCACATATGACGTCATTCGAGCCTAAATAGTCAACAAACAAAATGGCGTCAAAATCGGATAAACTTATCTCTTATAGAAGCTAAACTAAGGTAAAATAAAAAGTTATTGACCGATTTGCCCCCCCCCCCCATTAATCTGGTCTGCCCTCTGTTTGCCCCCCCAATAATTTTAGAAAATAAAAAAAAGTATTTGTGATACGTTTCGGTAATCAATACCTTCTACGGTGAATAAATCCCACATCCCCACTCAGTCATAAACTTGCATGTTGTAGAGCATTTACGACAGTCTATTTTTCAAAATTTTCTTGGCCAGGTCCCCAATGGACTCGCTACTTTTGCGCCCACAAGGGGAATTCGTTGAGGTTTGCAAGTCCGTTCGTTTGACATTTTGTTCTCTAGTCGGATAAACTAGTGATCAGGCGACGAACGGTATCTGGGCAGATCTATTTATCTCGACGATCGGTGCCTGATAGAATACTGTAAGACAGCATTTCCGGCAGTCTATTTTTCAAAATTTTCTGGGGGAGGACTCTCTACTTTGACGCTCCTGAGTGTGCTTCGTCGTGATTCACAAGTCCGTTCGTTTGACACTTTACCTCATCGATCAGTGCCTGAAATACTGACAGGCTGCATTTCCGGCAACCTGTTTTTCAAAATTTTCTGGGGAGGCCGCCTACCCCTAGTTGAAGCTCGTGCCTTTGCCCCCTTAACCTTGGACTTTGCCCCAGCTTTGCCCCTCCAATCACCGACGAGGGGATCACGTGGCTAAGTGGGTAAGACGCTAGCTCGCTAGCCTGGAGGTCGGGTGTTCGATCCCTGCATTGGCTGAGAAAGTTCACCCAGATTTTCCGGCGTGATTCTCCCTTGTCAGTGATGCAGGACGGAGGGGCTGACAAGGAAAGCTGTCTAGTCGTTCGGATGGGACGAAAAACCGAGGTCCCGTGTACACATTGGCGGGCACGTAAAAGATCCCTTGGCAGTTGGAATTCGATATAAGAGTAGGCCGTAGTGCCACTGTCCGGGCAAAATTTCCCTCCTAGCACACTGTATGGCGTATGCCCGTCTTCATTAGCCCAGGTTAGGAGCAGAACAGTAGGACGTTAAACTCCATTTCATTTCATTTCATTTCCAATCACCGACGACTGGCGCCGCCACTGTCAATGCTGCAGTTCATGATAATAACAATAATTTTCGTATATTTTAATTTTTGTGCTAAGCCACCAATTTCTATAAACGACTACATGTATTTGACTTTGACTTCCTATTGAGCTTGGGGCCTTTGCGTTTATGTGTGTCATGGCCATATTTCTGGCTGTATTATCAAGGTTAATGTACCTGCTCTAATACGTCAGACTCGCTCCTACGTCACTCCTTTTCTGACTTGCATATAAAGACAGGTAGTGGGCAGCCATGTTTTGACGTAGTGTCACTAAAAATAGACAGGTATCCCTAATGATGAAGTTCAGCATTAAAATGAGTAAGTGTTAAAACAATAGATTTCAATAGCAGTTATCGATTAGCGATAGTATAATGATGGATATTGTAAACTTTATTATAATGCATAGAAAATAACATATTAGCAATAGGTGTATAGACGGTATAACACGATAAATACGTCGATCACTTCATTACCTAATCAATCCAGCCTATTATCAATGATAATCGGGTTGAGTTGTAGTTATACTATACTATATTAATTTTGGAATTTGAATATTATTTACCATGTCTTGATGTCCGATTGGGCATATTCCTGGTCGAACAATTTAGGACGTTTGGAAAATAGCGTCGGACATGTCTGGAATATACGGGCGAAATCCCATCACTGATGCAGGGCTACTGGCTTTAAAGTTAAACTGAACAAATCATTTGATGTTGTTTATCAATCTATCATTTGGCACAAGGGGGAAAAAAGAAAATCTTATCATTTGAGAAATTCATAGAAATTGTGTGAGTTCCTAAACTTTAGAATCCCAAAGGCCTGGCCATGACGGTAAATTGTAAATCATTGGTGGCACGCTTCGGTCAGCAGTGATCATCATATATTTGTAAATTTATACAAACGAAGATAAGAACATGTAGCAATCAAAACTTCAAATATGTATATGGGAATGAATTGTAAAAAATAAACCACACCTTGCTTCTCGCGGCCGTATTAATATTTTCTGAAATCTACAATGGAATATCATCACAGTGTCAAATTTACAAATAAATTTAACGCATCAAACTTTATTATATGACAGTCGTGGACTCGTGGCAAACATGATGGATTAAGCATACAAACATGATAGATACACTATTATGGCTCTACAAAATCAAAGCTGATGATGAAAAAACAAATGTTTGATGCCAGCTACGCTCGGCGACATTGTCTTTGTTTCAATCACAATTCCCGAACTTTTAAAATTGCCATTACAGGCCTGGTACTACATGTACATTGTGTACTCCGGTTAAAAGAAGTCATTATAGTCTTACTTAACTTTAAACGAGAGAAAGAAATGGGGTTTAACGTCTACTCGTCCACAAACTTGGTCATTTCGGGACTAACATGGTTGAATTTTTATTATACGGCCACATTGAAATGTGGTCGTATTTGTTGTCACCCCCGTCTGTCCGCCTGTCCGGCGTTCACAAGCAATAGGCTAAAGTTAATATCCGATTAACTTCAAATTTATACACAGTGTTTAGGGTCATGAGGCGAAGAAGCCCATTGATTTTCAGCGATTTTCGATAATTACTGTCAGAGTTCTGGCCCTTTATCACTTCAAAAAATCTTGTGGATGCTCTAGAGGTCAAAGTTAATATTCGATTAACTTTAAATTTATACACAGTGTTTAAGGTCATGAGACAAAGAAGCCTATTAATTTTCAACGATTTTCGATAATTACTGCCAGAGTTATGGCCCTTGATCACTTAAAAAAATCTTGTGGACACTCTAGAGATCAAAGTTAATATCCGATTGACTTTAAATTTATACACAGTGTATAAGGTCATGAGACGAAGCAGCCTATTGATTTTCAGCGATTTCCGATAATTACTGCCAGAGTTATAGACGGAGAGAAATAAAAAACTACAGAGAACAAATTGCAAAAGAATTTCTTTCACTGGAATCTAGTAAAGGGGTGTCTAAAGGACTCCCAACTCAAAATTGTCCGCTGAAACCCTGTAGCGTTTTTCATAATTAGCATAAATCCAAGATGGCCGCCAATTGGACTTTCTGGCCTCCATATCTTGGAAACAGCTCGTTTTAGAACAATAAATGTATTATCATTACATACAAAAGTGATATCAACGAATCGGAAAAAAAGGTTATCACGACGCCAGCAGGTTATGTTGACACCAAAACACTTAGTCCGGCAGAACTATGGCTGAACCTGGAAGTTGTACACAAAGACTTTTTTATGATTGATTTTAGTAGCCTATGGTGCCTCTTTAAGAATCTGCCGATTGGACCTGAGTCACCATTGAGAGTTTTGAGAAATTCAAGATGGCGTCCAAGATGGCCGTCATTTTAAATAATCACCTGTAACCCCCATACTATATTGTCTAGGATGATAATTTTGGTGTCTAACCGTATGTTTTTGGGGCCAAGAAATACACCGAAATCATCCATTGGTGCAAATAGCACCAATGATTGAATGAATCTTTTATTTTCTGGAAACAATTATTGTTTGTGAACAGTCTACAGGTCACAATTTTTATCCGATTTCAATGAAACTTGAAATATAGGTTTATGACCCTAAGATCTCGGTTCCTTTCAATATTGGCATGTATCGAACTGTAACTTCATGGATAAATGGCTCCTGATTATACGAAAAATCACGTTTTTAGCTTGTGAACACTGTAGAGGTCACAATTTTTATCCGATTTGGTTTAAACTTGAAATGTATGCTTATAACCCAAAGATCTTGGTTCCTTTCGATATTCGTGCATATCAGACTTTAACTTCCTGAGTTATGGCCCCTGATTGTACGAAAAATCGCGTTTTTAGCTTGTGGACCCTATAGAGGTCATAATTTTTATCCAATTTTAAAAACTGTATTATTATATCAGCGTTACACCCAAAGGACGACAGACAAAATGGCCGCACCTCATTCTTAAATAGCGTAAAAATATGGTATATCAAGGTTATGGACCCTATAGAGGTCACAATTTTTATCCGATTGTGTTGAAACTTGAAATGTAAGTTTATAACCCAAAGATCTCGGTTGTTTTTGATATTCGCGCATATCGGACCGTAACTTCCTGAATTATGGCCCCTGATTGTACGAAAAATCGCATTTTTAGCTTGTGTACCCTATAGAGGTCATAATTTTTATCAGATTTTAAAAAAAAATGCTTGAATATATCACTGTTACACCCTTATGATTGTCGAGTCCGGACAA